CTATTAAGAAGATTGTATGTTTGTTACCAAAAAGATTAATTATCAATATTTAATGGCACCCATACTATAGTAAAATTGATTTCTAAGTAATATATAATTGAGTAAGTTTTTTTAAACTAAATAAACCGCAAAAAGTCTTCAATATATAATACAGTATATGGAAGAAGACATTCAAACTTTTCTCCAACTGTCATGTTTCACAGGACACCCTGTATTTTCCCGATATTATGGTGGATCCGCCTTTTTGCGGATCCGGATGCAGAAAGCTAAAATGTTGCAGATCCAGTTGATCCGGATCCTCAATTCATCTTAACTAACCTAGGAGCTACCCATATAAGACTACTGATAGCTTCCGCTAAACCATCATCTAAGGTTTTCATCTGTTGAATCAGACCGAATCTAAAATTTAAGGTAAAATCATTTCTCCCAAATCTTTAGAAAAGTGAGTCAGATTAAGAACTTAATCTCTTGAAATAAAAAGTTTCTAGGATATGTAGATCATACATTGTAAAATAGAGAAACATCATACAAAAATATGATTAGTTGTACCCCGATAACTTTTAAAAATTGCACCAACTGAAAAATGTCCAAACAGATTACAAAAAATGCCCCATAAGGTAATTTAAGAATGTCATAGTCATACCTTGCTAAAAGTAGGTCGCAATACATCTCTAAAATCTCCATTGCCTCAACCATATAATCCTCCCTAAAAAGTAAACACTAATATATTACTTTTTGCCATTCCTCTTTTCCTACAACTGCAATTATACAACAAATAAAATTCTTTATTAAAATAAATTAGGCTTTAGTATTAAAATGACAATTTTCCTTCATTTACTGTTTTAGCTCATGCGACGCAGTAATGATGAAGCACTAATAATGATGACGCACACTTGGGAAGGACATTGTAGACGCATATTAGGACATGAGGACGCACTGATGAGAGCGCACACATATGTATTTTTTACCTGATAATATGCTCTACACGAATCTTTGCTCGTTCCACTTTCCCAGCTCCCAGATAATCCGCAATCTCCTAAAAAAATAATCGATATGATAAAACCGTCAAGTTTTTAAACAATGGAAAACAAGTATCGAATAATTTTTTCTTTAATTATAAAATAATTTTAAATAATTTTAATTCTTAGCTTCAAATTTCAAGTGCTATACCGCGTCTTTTATATATAATCTGTATATATAAAGTATCTGTTTATATGTTCTGACAAACCTGGGTTTCAAAGTCAGTTAAAAAAAAAAACTTTGTGACAATCAAATCATAGCTTTCTGATTACTACAATATTTGAGTAAAATATATCCTTTATTTGAAAAGGAAGGCTTGGGGGTGATGATATTTGAACTAACCTTTCTAGATTTCATCGCCATCTCTGCCTTCTTCTTCTCCAACAACTTCAGCCTGTTGATGGACAACCGTAGGTTCGTCTTCAACTTGTTATAGTTAGCACCGGACGAAAACATTTCGTCTGAAAGTTAAAAATCCGTAAAAATACTGATCGTTTTCTCATCACGTTTTTGATTTATTGGTCAACTGTTTAAATGATTTTATATTTGATTTATTGATCCAATGCTTGAATGATGCGATACTTCGTTGCTTATTCTTTCTGTAAGATTCCCTGGGTTTCTAACTCCTGTCTAGGGTTTAAGTTCAAGTCAAGGTTTGAAGAAAAAAATCAAAATATAATAAAATTCAATTTGTGGATTATTTTTGTGTGTGAAGAGAAAGGGGGCTTGAATAAACTGATTAATTTTAGGGATGAACAATGAGGTTTGCAGAGGGAAACTTTGTTAAAAAAAATCACTCCATCCTTAAATATTTTTTCTATTTTTGCAAAGTCTGTGAGACCCTTTAAACTGTGGAATAGGTTAAGAAATCTATTAGTATCAAGTTATGATTTTAAGGTCGTCCAAAAAACATGACTTACGGAAATAAGAATGCTAAATTATCGTCTTCCTTTTCCACAGTTTAGTATATTATGCGTAGGAAGAAAGTGTGATAATTTAATTATTATACTTTCTTCCTATGCATAAAAATATTATACCACATTCTTGGAGGATTTGAATACATTCCCAGAATTACATATAAGGAACAGGAAAATGATCAGTTCTTTCCCCTCATCAGGTGCGTAGGTATTATCCTCTGATAACAGTTGGCTAATTACTACCTGAACCATATCGGACAAATCTTGCTAAATCTATTTTGTTTAGCATTTTTTTCACAGACCTAAAATCTTAAAATAAGTATGATATATTGAATATTTTAAGAATATTGTGAAAAATTAAAGTTTAAAAATTAAAATGTATGATGACTACAAAAATTATTTAAATGAATGTCTTGTTTTATTATATATAGAGATATTGAGATTAAAAAATATTTAATTGAAAATGTTTTAGCCCCCGTTCCCTTTCTACGCCCCTGATAAAAGAACAAGAAATAAGAATTTGTAAAGGGTTCAGGTTAAAAAAAACATTAAAAACAAGCATTTTGTTGGTTTCATGATTGGGAGAATGAATTAACATTAGTTTTAGTTTCTAGAATTAAATAGCTGATTTATCTATCTATCAAATTCCCGGTGAATAATTCTTATCATTGTCAACTACTTCGAGGAATAATCATAATTATTACAAGAAATGGGTGACAATAATAAAAATTATTGCTTATTTGGCTACGTAATAAATCCGACAAGAATGTGGTATAATAATTATTCATTTTAATGGTTTCTTAAAATGCGTCAAAAAAACTATTAAGAAGATTGTATGTCTGTCTAGAATATAATCAATATTTAAGGAATGAACAACTTAAAACCCTGCAAGATCTATAAAGTAAAGTTCTAATCCCACGTTGAATATCAAATAATTATTTTTTATTTGCGGCGAGGGGGGTGGGAGGGAGAGTATTCACATTTAATTGTAAGCAATGACTGATCGTTCCTGAGATGTTTGGCAAAATCTGACTCAATGTTATCGTCATCCCAGTTATCCTAAAATATCAAATTTACACAGAAATAATATATTTGGTTAAAAATATATTGATTTAAAGATAAATTTGTTTAAATATGGATGACTTAACTAGTGTGGGGCAATCGCATTGTTCAATGGCCGTTCTGAAAGGTATTGTAAGCGTAAATTCATATGATACTTCATGCTACGATGGCAAAGCCCGATTCACAATGGTTCGACTTTGTGACCTCGTAGGTCCACTAGTTTTGATTTTACGCACTGTACAAGCAAGGTAATTTTTTCTGTTACATATTATAACTTCAAAAATTTAATTCTTTTAATACCAATTCATTAAAAGGAGTTCTGATTGAAAACATAAATATTAATTTTGCGTGAAAATTACTTTAGTTGAACATGAAAACATCTTACCTCCCAAACCTTGATGTCTGATTGATCTTCACGCCTAAACAATAATTAGGTTTATTGTATTAAAGGGACTGTTGGCGTTATTTCAAATAACTTCTGTTTATAAAGTTAAAGCTCGATTCATGCCAGTTCTCTTTCAGTTCCCTTTAACGTCTTAGAAAAATCAAGATAATTCCCTCTCATAAAGAAACTTGCAAAAGAGAAACAAAAGATAATGAAAGAAGTTCTCAGCACTTGCTCATCATGAAATCCTATGAAACTTGGAGGGGGGGAGGGGGGTTGAGAAAATTCTGCAACACCTCTTTTTCTTTTAAAACTAAATATATAGTCACGCAAAAATGATTTTAATTCATGAGAATTTTATGAAAAACATGTCTTAGAAGGAAAAGATACTACTGACACTTTTTTGACTGTTACCAAAATTACTAACCTGATATCCCAATCCTCCTGCTCGAATTCCTCGAACTCGTCGTCCTCCTGAAGTTCATTAATTAAAAATTAAGAAATGAAAATACAAAGCCAATGGAAAAATATTTTCCATATATGTGGAGTAACAACAAATCTATAAAATATTTTTTTTTTAGTTTCAGTGCCATCACCAGATCAGATGGGAAGAAATAATCAAAAATTTTAGTTTTAATCAACGCTCCTCTAGCATATCCAGATTCTCCTTAGTTTTGTCGGCAGACATGTTTTCTAACCAAACCAAACCATTACAAAGCCGCCATATTAATTGCAATTATAAAAACCCTCCAAAAAGTGATAATGAAGATTGAATACAAAATAAGCCTTAAAAAATTCAACAAATTTTAAAATTGTACGTTTTTAAAAGATTATTTGTTTCACTGTAAAAACTTTTTAAACACTAGTATTACCCCCAGGTTTTTACTTTCTAAACATATGTTTGGTTTGTTTTCTACCTTGTTTAAATCTGAAAGTATAATCCGTGTAAGAAAGGGTTCAACTAATTAAAATAAAAATTTGACTTATTTTATTTTCAAGAATTGATGCCAAGTCACTGGGTGTTACTTCTGAAATAAAAACTACCGACTTGGACCAATTTCAAGAAAAAAATATTATGCTTATCAAACAGCTCATTTAAACTTTTTTTTAAATAAAAGATATTTTACAACAATCTGGTACAAAATACAAAATTGAACTTTTTCGAGAGACGCTTCACAACATTTCTTTTGAGTAACTGGAAAAATGATTTTCTATCAGGCCTGTAAATATTGGCAATTATAGAATTTATATTTTGTGGGTATATTAATTGGATACACATTACACAAAGACAATTATGCGTTGTTTGGTGTTTCTTAAAAAAAAACTCAATATTAAAAAAATTGAATTTAAAATTTTTGACAGTGTTGGTCAGCTCATATTTACATGAGTCAAGTTGTGCGTTAATAAGAAGATGTTTAATAGTTCGATGTTTCTGTTTTCTCACAATAATGAAATTATCAATTTAGGATTTTTATTTTTTCCAGAATCAAGCATTTTTTACATCTTCCTGAAAGGTTCCGTAAGGCCTTTAAGGATCCAAATTGATCCCAAAAAAATAGAAACCCGTTCTTGAAATTTCCAACAAAATAAGAATAGTAAATCAAGCTATATGGAGTTTTTTAAATTGAAATTTACGAAATCACAACTAAAGCTTCAGATATTTTTCTTTTGATTTCATTTAGAAAAATAATTTGGTGTTTAAAATTAGAAATTAAATTATTTAATCAGCATCAAAAAGTCAGAACTATTTATGTTTTGGTTAATAACTGGTAAGAATCTGGGGTATATCCACCAAGTTCCAGAGAAATAAGTTAAAACTTAAAATTTAAAATGAGGGTTAAAAATGACTAGGTAACGGTGACATTGATGATCTTTTAAACATTCATGTTTTATAAATTTAGTCTTTGATGTTCTGAAATGATTGTGAAAAGGGGGGAGGGGATTAGTACTATTAATCCCTTTCCAATGCAGAGTAAAAATACAAAATCACTAGCACTGTGTTTATGCACGTCTAATATTGATCAATAACAATAGACCAGAGCTGGATTTTTTTTAGTATTATCAGGATTCCTAGACTTAGCTGTGTATCTGTGAAGTGTGGAACTAAAGAATTTATAGACGGCTGTGTATCTGATAATGATAAGTATGTAACTAAATGAAATTATAAACTGCTGTGTATCTGATGTTGGCTCCAGGAGTTCTCATCCTGCATCCTCTCGAAGCATTCGTAGAGGTAAAGGTAGTGAGGGCTGACTATCCGAACCCATCTATCTCCCTTATCTTGTCGCTTGTACTGAAATATAGGGTAAATTTAAAGGGACTGTAAGCATAATTTCAAGTGATCCTCCATGCAAAGATGGCAGTGTCCGATTTACAACGGTATCCTGGAAACCTTACTCTAATTAAAAATGTAGAAGATAAAATCATTTTCATGACTCGGAAAAGTGTTTATTTCTGTGAGTTTCTTCGTTAAAGCACGAAATGATAAGTAACTTTCGAAGAGAACTGCAATGAAAATAAACAAATCATTTAGATCACATTCATATTTGATCAGGCAAAGCTTTCAAAGATACCGTTGCATTGCCATCTTTGCATGGAGGTTCACTTAAAATAACGCTTTCAGTCCTTTTAACCACGTATTCTTCAGAATACAAATCAGAGTTTTAAGTACACTATAATCTCAACATCATAGCCTATTAAGTGAATTTTCTAAATCAAGAATGAGAACCAGGCGCGTAACCAGGATTTAATCTGTGTCTGGGTGAAAAATGATAAGCATAAAATTTGTCCATCCCATAACTCCACAACCTTAAAAATGAAAGATCTAAAGGCAAACGTATAAACAAGTTTCAAAGTAAGGTAAGGTAAGGGAAGGATCTAAAAACCCCCCCGTCTTGGAGAGCCAAGACCGCCATCAGGGCTAACTCCACTGAGCACTGGCATCCCCTGGCTCCCATAATGCTATGGGAAGATGCTACCAGTGGATCGGGCAGAACTACTTGGGAGGCCCTCTTATAGAATATCTTTTTTTTTCTCCAGAAGTTATATATGATTGCGCAGAGCGCAGCATTTTTTCGCTAACTAGGGAAAATAAGTGATTTTTCAGGGGAAAGGAAAAAAAATTATTTTTTGGGAAGTTTTAAAATAAATGAAAAAACTTTCCCTTTGATATCCCATTTTTCATTTTTCTTCCCCATTCATCAAAAATCATTTGGCAGAGGTGTAATTCTGAAAAATATACACCCCTGCCAAACACACGTTTTTACCCTACATGTCAACAAACTACTACTTATCTATCTACTTATCTAAAATTAACTTTTTAAGAAAGGCATTGCAACTCAAAGTGAATAAATACTAAAGTGGAACAGACTATGGCAACGACGACAGGATGGGCTATAAGGTTTTATTTGGTTTGGCAATAATTGCATGAAAAGATTTCATATGGAAAGTAAAGACTAGAAAAAATAGACTAAAGACCCATGTAAATGTGGTCTTTAGTTAGAACTTCAAAATTTTCATAATTAAAAATCAAAATTTTTTGTATGTTTGTACGTTGTTTATATGTAAATTGTAAATACTATATAGTCGCATAATCAATTCACTTCTGAAATCTTAATTTACGTTAATATATGTTTAAGTTAAATACAAATTCTAAGTCTGTGTTTGTGAACAAAGGGAGTCCAGTTTCTGTTGTACTGTGCATTCCGTGCAGACCAATTTATATATATTACGGGGGGAGGGAGAGGTGATGATTTTTGAAGATTTGGTAAAAAAAAATTAAAAATTGGACGTCAAAACTCAAAGGTAAGGGGTTTCATCTTTTTTGATCCTTTAACCCAATAATTTATAAAGCGTTTTCTCAAAAAAGATTTGCCAAAAATAATACCTGTAAATGTTACAATAGGTGTGACATGACCCTCCTTTCTTGCATCAGAGCAGCAATGAGGAAACACTATAGATCCATACCCATCACATTCACGCACAATAGATAAATACTCGCTAAATAGACAAAACATTAATCAAATTAATTTAAAAATAAATAAACTTAAATCTTTATTTAAAAAGAGGGGGATACCCGGTTCACAAACTTTAAACCTTTCTCTGATCAAAATCAGACAAAGGTTTAAAGGAAACCACTGTGAATGCTCCATTTAAACGGAAGGTCACGTGAAAATACGCCAATCCCTTTAAAAGATACATGATTTAACAAGAGCATAAAATAATTCTATACAGATCCGGATCCGTCCTGTAAATATATATTACAAATATTTCTGGATTAAACTGTTTCCGAAAATAGACTAATAATTATCCTTTTCTCCATTTCTTTTTTGCCGAAACTCAACTGAGCATTGATAGACTAAATGGAAGTTACCAATCTCTTAATCATTATTCAACACTTTTTTAAAAACATCTTTTGGTAATATTTTCCCCTTGGATCCGATTCATCAATTTTCATATTTAAGGAATTAGGATACGGAATGCGGATCCAGGAAGCCAAAAGGTTGCGGCTGGATCCGGAATTTATAAGCTTTGAAATCAATATAAAATAAATTACCAATCAAACTGAATGAAATAAAATAAAATTGAATTAAACCAAATCAAATCAAATCAAATTAATTCACATCACATCACATCACATCACATCACATCACATCACATCACATCACATCACATCACATCACATCACATCACATCACATCACATCACATCACATCACATCAAAATCAAAATCAATATCAAAATAAAATAAAATCAATTTTTACTTGAGCTTTGAGTAATTACCTAATTTTGAATGAATCTTGAAGGGATTTAAGATGAAAACTGTTTTCCTTAAGCACTATTTGACCTCGGTTGACCGCCAGGATCGCGTCAAAGAAGAATATTTTCTCTGCAATTTTATCCTGACATATCTTGGGTTCCAAATCCAGGGAGAACAGCCAGCGTTTCAACCTGAAAAAGGATTTGATCATTCCCTTCAAACTTCCATTTTCATAAACCCCATATCTTGGGCAACCCAATGATGTAAACCTTTGATATCTTTAAAACTATGACTAATTGATTAAGCAGAATTCTTCGTAGGAAATATGTGAAGTCTATAACAACATGTTGCAAAGATATCAGGCAAATAGTCATTTAAACTATCTTTCTGTGCTATTAGGAACTGTGTTACGCAGCAACTAGATAAATAACATATCGGAAAAGTCACGCAATTTCCAGAGGACACCAAAGACGTTTGCACCATGGACCAAGAGGTCTCCTGCAAACCACCTCACAAGTAAACAAGTAAAGAAAATCAACAATTTTTCTTCGAATTTTCAAAAAAATTGTAAACACTACAAATAACTCCATTCCGCTGGATCTCAAAGAAAGTAGGAATTTAAGAAACGCTAGGAACTTCAGCAATTTATTTCATTTTAATTCTGTTCCGGATCCTGGATAAGATAAGATAAGATAAAGTTTATTGCTAAAATAAATGTATCTGTATACAGATAGAGTTTACAATCACAAAATTGATAATTATATTAACAGTACAAGTATAAAGCAATTAGGTGGAAAATAGCTCTTGGCTGTTTTGATTANTCATAATTTGATTTGCTGCCACTTTTTCTAAAAGTTTTGAAAACGAAGAAAGCAAACTTATAGGCCTATAATTTGTAAAATTATCCGTTTCCCCAGCCTTGAAGATTGGGACGATTTTTGCAGTTTTAAGAGTGGTAGGAATAAACCCAGTTTTGAAAGATAAATCAAATAAATGACAGATAGGACCCATGATAATTGGTATGATAGACTTTAGCAAATTTGTTGAAATTTTGTCTGGTCCAGAACTGTTTTTACTTTTTAGTTTTTTAAGAGCATCATTTATAATATCAGGGGTCATATTTGCAAAAACAAAGTTTTCATCTGTTCCCTGTGACAAAAAGTCAGAAAATTGTTTTTTAGTGCCCTTAATAGTTTTTGCCAGATCAGGACCTATATTAGCAAAAAAATTGTTAAAACCCTCTGATATTTCTACGGCCCCTGAGAGAACTTTTCCATTGCTCACAAATGCATCAGGAATGTTAATTGTTTTACGTCCCCTTCCTAGTACACTATTGATAGTCAGCCATGTTTGTTTACAATCTTTACTATATTCTTGAAATTTATCATTAAAGTATTTTTTTCGTGCTGCCCTCACAAGGCGAGTATACACTGCATTATATTCTTTAAATCTAGATTTAGTTTCCTGACAGGATTTCCTACGACCTGGAATAAATGGATCCGGACCCAGGTCCTGATTTACAGACTTGCTGAATTTTTATCGCATGAAAAATTTTCAACACTTTTTTCTTTTTACGCTTATTTTCAAACTAAACCCATTTGATATTAGGAAATTAGGAATTAATCTCTCATTAGTTAACAAATTTGATTTGTGTTTTGAAGGCAAATTTGTTTTTTCTTAGATCGAGATAGTCAAATATTGCGGATCCAACGGAACAAACACTGCACATTGCACATTCTTTAAAATGTTTTTTATTTTGATAATTAGTTTAAATATTCACCTGATACAGGTGGCAGCTGCAGTACTATAATTTGACATGTACAGGCTGTGTGGAAACTCATTATTTTGAATTTTTCTCTCAAAATTCTGATCTAGGATTTCAAAGAGGGAAAAGAATATCATGTTCTCAGGTCGCAAACCTATCTCCTAAAACATAAAAAAAAATTCTGAAAAAAATTTAATATCGAAATAAAAATTTTAGGTTTTAACTTTTTCGATAGATTCAGTGCTAAATCCAGTCTATAACCAGGGGCGTATACAGGAATATGTCCAGGGGGCTCAGCACCCACTGGAAATTTTTAGATTTTACTAATCCAAGGAATGAACGCTTATTCCTCCTCATCTCTCCTCTGTATACGTCTCTGTCTACGTCTACTCGATTTCAACCACGGAATCTTATATTTTCAGCGATCAAGTGAAAGTTCAGAAAATACATTTGATTCACAAGTTTAAAATCTTATTTTATCAGATTTTCGTATCTTATGATTGGTTGGACCTCAGAGATTTTTCAAAATGATGGGATTAAATCTTTCTGAAAGTTCCAACCCCTGAAAACAATATTCCCTGCATACTTTCAAGTAAATCAAAAATTATACTTTTATCAACAAAAAATCTACCGAAAAAAAAATTACAAAATCCCGGAAATAAAATATTGTCAACACACCTGACACACCAGATTAAAGACCTCCATTGCTGTTGTATTTCTGCGGATTGTAAGGGTAACCAGTTCGTCGTTCAATACTAAAACCTGCAACATTTATATCTTCATTTAGAACTGTAAATCGTTTTAATTCTTTTTCTAAAACTTTTAATAAAACTAAGATTTCAAACCTGTTTTCTGTTAAATTATGCTTTTTAAACTTTGCTAATTGTATTTGTATCGTTTTTGGTAATTTTTTTGCAAATATTTTGTGATATATTTTCAAAATCAAGCATAGTGAAAGTCAAGCAAGTGCTGAGAATATTTTCCCCTTAGTTTTTAGTTCCTACACTACTATGCCAAATTTGAACAGAAAATTCAGGGGAAAAACGAACCAACTTAATGCACATCACTAATCTCCGCATTAGATCGGGAGGTTAGCACCTTCTGCACTGGAAAAAAATACAAATTTGATAGGAGGGGGGAGGGAGGGGTCTACAAAGCTATAGGACAGGCCTAACACCAAGTCTGTTGGTAATATTTACCAGGGAACGATTTAACTTTAGTGCAGTAGAGAAAAAAGATTTATAAAACCAACCTGGCCGCGAACGTTGAATCCAAATCCTGACTCGTCTTTCACAATAGAAACTAAATGTGGCTCCAATATTCTCGAAGGGGGCATTGCGATTCTTGCGATTCTGAAGAAAATAAGCACTGATGGTAGAAATGACGCATTATCGACTGCACTGCATTACAATTGCATTACCAGGCCTAATTCAAAGCATTTAAATGAGCAACAACCAACATGTAATGTTTTATTAGAGCTGAATTTCAAATTTACACAATTTGTGTTTTAAAATCACTTATTGATTTGAAATGATGAGAATTTATCTTTCACTCTGAGTCATACGAACCCTACGAACAATTCTAGATAAAAAACAAATGAAATTTGTCCAATAGGATAGCAGAGATCTATTCACCGAAAGTGTGTTTAACCAATAGAAAATTAGATGACAAATCAAGAAATAACGACATTTGAAATAAGAGTTGCTGCATTAATCAAATAATATTCTTAGGGGCGCATAGGTGCTTTCGGGGGGGGGGGGGAGGGTACACTTCCCCATAATCCAAGTTCCGTTTATTGTTTATTTAAAAGAGATATTTTTATATTTTTTGTTTGAATTATTAGGTATAACCAGTGCTTAGGATCCGGATCCGGATCCAATGGGTAAAATATCAACCCAAAACTGCAAAAAAACCTTTTTTACTCCAAAACCAAAATCTGAACTTTTGATAAAAAGAGAGATTATAAAAATTTCCTCATTTATGAATGGTTCATCAAGTTTTAGGATAAAAATATGCGGAAAAAAAATAAAAAAAATTTGAAAATTATTTTTTGTTAAAAAGATTCAGTAAATCTTATAGAAATGACCTGGATCCGGATCCGGATTTGGATCCGGATCCATTTTTTCCAGTGCGGATCCAGGATCCGGATTCGCATCAAAATTAAATGGATCCTAAGCACTGGGTATAACACCCAAGTGCCATAGCGCCAAAACCTCAATTAAACTTACAAAAAAATTTTTTTTTACAATTTTTATAGTTAAAAAATATTAATTTGCGGAAATTTTAAATTGTATTAAAGTGAAACCTAAATTCTGTGAGTTCAGTTCTCTTAACATCAATCACGTATTTCAAATATATTAAGATTTAAAGGGTCTAGTGATTATATTGTTAAAACTTAGTTCCAGTTTGGAACTTAAGAGAGCCCCCCTACCCATCTTTTTTTTAAAGGGACAGTAAGCGTAATTTCAAGTGAACCTCCATGCAAAGATGGCAATGCGCGACTTACGATTTAGTAGCCTTAAAAGCATTTTCATGTCAATGTTTTTGTTTCTTTAAACTGTTTATTTTCAATTACGGTTTCACTGCGAAAGTGACTTGCGCATTCCTTGTTATAAGAAGCAATGGAAAAACTCACAGAAATAAAGTTTCGAGTCAGAAAAACAAAGGGTTCTTCCACATTTAAGATCAGATAAAGGTGGGTACCGTTGTAAATCAGGCATTGCCATTTTTGCATGGAGTAAAATTAAAAAATACTCCCCTTTACAAAATATGAGTGAAAACTTGAAGATTTTGTTTACCTTGATATCTACCGAGGTTGTGGCTGTACCAGTTTTATCAGTTTCAGTCAGGAACTCCTTCATCAGATCAGATTCTCCTTTACAAAAAGATTTAAAAACTATATATAATGTCTATTTTGAAAAATGCTTGTATTGCATAAACTATAAAGTAATACGCATAATTTTTTTCAAAATCTAAAATTTTGTTTTATAAAATTCATATAAAATTTTAATAACGAAAATATGATCCCGACCCAATCGATTGAATTATATTAAGGATCCACATCAAAATTACCTGGATCCTTAAACCTACTCAACAGGCTGCAGAATGAAGGGGTATCAAAATATACAAAGTAGTAATGCCTGTTCGCTTGTTTATTTGTGTGTATATTTGGATGTCCGATCTTATGACCGATTTGCCTCAAATTTTGATCGTGTAACTAGGCAGAACTAGGATATTATTCTTAGATTGGTTTAATAATTCCATGTAGAGTGGGTCGACTTTTAAGGAGAAAACTCCAGGCAAAGCTGTGTTCCCAAGCTAGTATACTATGTCTTAATGAATTACCCCCTTGAGGTTGGGGAAATACATGAGTTATTAGAAAACTTATTTTCCGTCGCAAATGAATTCATTAACCCCACCCCCCTCTCCTAAAAAAATATTTAGCGAAAAAAAACTTTTTGCGGTTCTCAAAAATACTACAGTTTACCAGAGGAGGGGTGAGAAATGTAAAAGAAAATATATACCCCTTTTAATCAGTACCCACAACTCACCTATAACCTTGACAGCACAAACCCTCTCTAAATATAGTTCCAATCCTCGCCGCCTAGAGTCCAGCTGCTGGTCAGATAAGTTAAACGGCCATTTCCCAGGTAGCTTCGGGAAATTATATCCTGCAATATTTATAAATAATATTTACAGTCTTGACCGGTCTGTCGTCTAATTTCGAGTAACCGTCTCGATTCATAACGGTACCCATTAAACCTTTATTCGATTGATAATGTGGAAGAAATTGTCCTTTTCAAATCCTGATATGTCTTTAATTCTGACGTTTCCCCCCCCCCCCATGCTTTCCAAAGCAGAACTATGCAAGTAGGGATACTAAAATTATACATCTAGAATTTTTAAATAGAATGATTTGGTAATGAATATTGAATATCTCAAGCATTTTAAGATCAGACAAAACTTTTAACTTTTTAAGGCAAGCGTGATCAATCGAACATGTAACATAACAGGAAGTCCTTCGAAATTATGTCTAGAGCCCTTTTAAGTCCAATCGTTTCATTGAAAAAATAGCTTAATATTTTGTTAATTTGGGACGGTTATGACTAATATATGTCTAAGAATGTTAAGAGCACAAGAAATAACATTTTCAAATTACAAAAACTTTAAATGACATAAAACAGACAACTTTCATTTCACCTTTTACTGCTCATGACTGACGACTTCATCAAATGATTTCATTTAAATATTTTAAAGACTGAATTTAATTGAAAAAATAAATCCATCAATCATTTAATCAACCAATCAATCAAGCAATCAATGTAACATATATAAATTAGTATTCACCTAAAAATTCTGTCTTTAGAGCACTATGAATCTCTACAAACTCGCGGTATCTGCGCGAGCAAAGATGTCTGCCGGCCATATTTATGTTAAACACAACATAACTCTCTCCATCCTTGAAAAAGGACATATATTTAACAAGAAAAAAATCCTGAACTGTTACGAATACTGTTCGCGTTATTTTTGCATGCTTGATCCAGAACAGCGTCCTTTAATCTAAATAGCAAAAGGGAAGATATCTCCCAATTTCATTCTCTTCTGCAAAAATCCACAATATACTATTATAGGAAAACTACAACCAGCTTTCAAACTGTGAGGCAAGCCCAAGGATGTTTCAATTATTTTCATTAGACCAAAGAACCATGGGTGCTATTGTGAATCTCACATGGAACTTTTCAAATGGAATATCATTTAAAAGTAAGTCGACAAATCTCTTAAAAAATCATTAAGTTCCTCCTTGTAAATACTACCTGATGGATATGTCTATAGTCTGGTATAGTGATTGGTAAAGATCGTTTCTCAGAATAATCAACAAACTGCAGTCCCAGTTTTCCTTCAGAATTGTCAAATCTATAATCGCAAAAATAAACCGTTTCATTTAAAAATTTGATTTAATCTATCTACCAGGCAATGTGACAACGTTTTTTTTTATTAACATATTAAATTTAAACCCGAAATGTTTCATATTTCGTTTGAGATTTTACGAATGTTGTTTATTTTTTCCTATTCCTGTCAGCTTCATCTTCCGATACTGATACTACACACAGGTTTAGAGTATCTCCGGATACCTAGAAATACACTTATACTTTACACTGTATGGATACTGATACCACACGCAGGTTTAGAGTATCTCCGGATACCTAGAAATATACTGATACTATACAATGTATAGATACTGATACTACACAGTACACACAGGTTTAGAGTTTTTCCGGATACCTAGAAATATACTGATACTATGCACTGTATGGATACTGATACTACACACAGGTTTAGAGTATCTCCGGATACCTAGAAATATACTGATANTTTTCAGAAAAAATCCGTTCAATCCGTACAATTTGAAAAAAAAATCTGTACAATCCGTACAATTCGTACATTTTGGCCACCCTGTAGACTGTATAGATACTAATACTGTACACTGTATAGATACTGATACTGTACACTGTTAAGATACAATACTGAGCAATGTATAGATACTGATACTGGGCACTATAAAGATACTGATACTGTACAATATAAAGATACTGATACTGTACACTGCATAGATACTAATACTGTTAACTGTATAGACACTGATACTGTACACTGTTAAGATACAATACTGAGCAATGTATAGATACTGATACTGTACACTATAAAGATACTGATACTGTACAATATATAGATACTGATACTGTACACTGCATAGATACTAATACTGTTAACTGTATAGACACTGATACTGTACACTGTTAAGATACTATACTGTGCGCTGTATAGATACTGAATGATACTGTACACTATAAAGATACTGATACTGTACACTGTATAGATACTGTACACTGTATAGATACTGATACTGAACAGTAATAATACAAATTTTTTAATCACTTTTTGATGCCAACATTTGCAAAATATGAAAGGTTGAGACCTAACCATTAACCAAGATTTTGATTTTTAAAGGGGGGGGGGCCACAAAACGTATTACTCTCCGGAAAATTTAAACAGTGTAAAAATCAGCCTCCTACGACAATTCTAAGTTATGTTTAACCACTGTTTAAATTTTCCGGAGAGTAATACGTTTTGTGGCCCCCCCCCTTTATTTTTACCTTTATTAGTTCTACAACTTGCTTATGACTAGCACCCTCTACAGAGGTTCCGTTCACCTCTAAACATTTATAAAATATATTGGTTTGAAAATAACTTCGATAAATGTAATTAATCAATTAGGATTAATTTTATCTAACAATAATATTTATCAAACAAAAGTTGTGAGAACTATTGAATGAACTTCGATTAAAAATCAAACAAAAATAATAAAATTTTCAGGCAGAAATTAATCTTTCACTTCTAAAAGTAAATAAATTACAAGGGTGTATATTTTGAAATAATGATTTTACAAAAAAAATGAAAAATTTAACATCAAAAAGCAAACATTTTTTCATTCTAAATATTATTTTTACCCGAAAATTCATTATTTCTGGCGAAAAAATCTTTACAAAAGGGCGGGGAATGATCTTTGGAGAAAATATACACCCCTAAACTATTAGTGAAAGAAAGAACAGAACTTTTCTCCATCTGACTTCCC